CTATAATGGGCTTCGATTCTAGGCCTAAAGTAGGGAGTCTAAAGTCGTGGGACGTACGAACTCATTAAGCTTCACGCCTATAATCTAGCACCGCAGCAGCCCCTCCTGTTCCCCCCCGTGTCTGCACCACCACAACCCCCCTACGCCATCCGACGCTTCGGTGGTTGGGTGGCACCTTTTTCACTTTCCTTCGGCTGCTTTTCTCGTACCAGAGTGAATACGATGACTAATGCTCAGTTAAACGCCTTCCCTCCTACCCTCTTTCATCCGCTGAAGCTTGGGCGTGGCATCTGTGCCTGGAAAGGCTCTCCTGTAGGCTATTTTTAGCAAGTACGATGCGTATACAATGGCGCGTCCATCAACGTTAGTCATTAGCCCTCCGACCCCCTTGCAAATTGCACTCGGGCGAAACAGAGAGTGGATTCGTAACGCAAGCAGGGTTTGTCAGCTTTCTTAGGACGACGAGTCCTCTTGCAATTGTCTGATTTGTGCGAATTTGTCAGCATGACCCCGTTATCCCCGGCCCTCTCTCACATGACGCATGATTTTTCCAAATTACCCGCTTTCGTTTATTTTACTGCTTTGTTTGCGGACTACCTTTTGCCAGGTTGCATCATTTAAGATCAGATTAGGGATGTCCTCGATGTCAATTTTGCCTGAATACTTTCGTCTAGACAAAGTAATGATAAATGTTACACCAAGATTTCGAACAAATGCCAGATATTCATGAAAAAAAAGTTGCATAAACTCCGACACGATATGTGTAGCCAAAATTTAATCTCGCACGCTATAGGACAATATATTTTAAAGGCGAAGAAAAGGAATGCCTTGGTATTTTGTCGAAATTTGAAGCAAGGCCCGACGAAACTTGGGTGCAGCGCGTTAGTGCCATTGAGCCATGCACTTTGGCCATTCACTTCTACATGCCACAGAAGTATAGCGCAAAAATTCGACAAAAGGTTTATTTGGCAACGATCAGGCTGGTGTCGCGGGTAACTTGGTGCAGCCGCTCTCATGTACGCCTGTGCCACTTCACATTGGCGCGATTGCGACCTGCTCTCGAGTCGCGGACTAGGCTGCTTCCCTGTCAGGACCTTGTATCTCTGGAACAGTTGGAATTTCCGGGCCTGTGCGCTCGACTCAAGCTTTGTTCACTCGTCGTGCCCCGATAGGAAACCTAAGTAGCTGCTGCGGGAGGTAATCGCCTTCTCCTCTTTGCCTAATCCCGCGACAGTAGACTTTAATGTATCATGGAATGCACAGACGATTCCATGCAATTGGAGACGAATCTGTCGCCCCTCCCCCACGACTCAGTACACGAAATAATGTAGCAGAAGGTTAGCGTTGTGCGAATCGGTTTTAGGTAATGGCAGATTCTTCGCTGACGAAATTGTTGATTTGTATGGTGCGTCTGGACAGATGTCATGATCATCGATGACTGTTCCTGATTTAGGCATGAACATTTACCAATTGACTTTTTTACTCTAAGTAACGTTGTCAGTAGTCCCTTCGTTTTGTTGTGTTTCGGGTTGTCCTTCGTCAAAAGGCCTCTAACCTTTCCCACTCCAGTTTTTTGTTTAAATCCGCACCAGCCGACCTTTAGTTCAGATGTAAATGTAGAGGTTCCAGCTTTGACTAAAGCAGTAGATGGATGAAAATGTGGGTGTTGCGTAAAATTAATGCCTTATTTTGAACTAAGGGCTAACAAAAGAATACTACTAACCTATCGAATTTGCGACCGTGCCTGTTATTTGCAAGGAGGGTTTAACTCCTTATTGTACCTAGAAAGATTATATAAAAAAACAAAACTAGTGATTTTGTGTAGGTCATTGTGCCATGAAGGTTAGGGTGCTACAACATCGTCAATTTATCTGTTAGTGTCAGCCGGTAATTGAGTTACTCAAGTTACACTTTTCGTTTTGAGTTTACGGTTTTCCCAAACTTCCACAATTAAAGGGTTGTCGTGCTTGTCTTTAAATCAGTGGCATTCCAACAACTTCAGGGGCTTTTACAAATTGGTCCAGTTTATCATGGGTCGTTTTGGGAATCGGAAGCACTGTGGAAATGATGTATGTGGGGGGACCAATTTGACATGTTCATCATTATCAAGTAGCCAAAAGGCAGTAAACATACGGAATTTTACATAATTAGCTTGTTATATACGTAGACAGTGAACACAGCTTGCCTCCTTGTGCGTCAGATTCGTAGGTATCCAACTGCATCGAGCCGAGTTTATTCTCTGTGGTTCCTTGCCTTTTCTGTAGCGCAACTGCACACTTCTGCAGTAGCCGCACGCCGGTTCTGACGGCCTCCCTGTTGAATGTGTGTGTGTGTGTGTGCGTGCGTGCGTGCCACCATCGACGGCAAAACAAACTGGCTACACGTCGAAGAGTGTTTCTTTTTGCGGCTAACCGCATGATTCGAATGCCGAGCACGCACACACACACACACACTAACGTGTCGATTCCTGCCACTGACGGCCACCAATCTGTGGGTTCGCCTCCTGGTGGTCCACTGGCTTGCAGCGAACCGACAGAAATATCTCGGCTAAAACAGAATTTGTAGAGCACATCAGAAGAGTTTGTACAACCCCTCACAGCAATATTTTCATGAAGGGTGATTTTGATAATTTAGGTGGCTTTGCAAAATCTGGCGCCTAGCTGAGTGCTGTGTACTTTCGCAACTCCTAAGTACTCCTTAGACTGAAGTACTCCAATAGTCTTATGTCAACTCACTGTTTGCATTGAGCCAAAGGTTTGCTTGTTGCCTCTTTGCTTGTGTCAATTTGTAGCCGATCAGCGAATTTGCATGCACACACCACTAGCCTATTGTGAAACGTCTTCAGTTTATTCTATGCAATCTTCGAAAAACCGCAGCCTGCATGCTTTTGTGTTAGGCTTCCAATTGCTTCAAAGTCAGTGTTGCAGATCTCGAATGTAAATCAAACACGACACTGTACAGCTTCTACCACTTAACCGGAAACCTCCTGTTGAGACCTACCTAGTGGCGAGTCGCTTTTTCCGCAAATGAGGCACTTTTGGCAGGGTTCGAACTGTAGGTGCACAAGCTGCCTTTTTTTCCAACAAACGATATGACGCAAGACCTCATTCCTTTTATGAGGCCACGCCAAAGTTTGTTGCTTCGCTTTCTTATCGTAGCGCGGTCCATCTAATTAATTCTGCAGCACACAGAGTTATGTACACGTGGGTTTTTCCACTTCGTTTGGGCCTGGATGTAGAAAAAAATCCGCGAGGAAGCCCAAGGTGGTGAATCACGGTTAAAATAAATACAAATGGCACACTCGCGTACACCAAGTGTGCACCTGGACAGTGGAATGTTTATATTTCCACGCGTGTTATACCCACTGCGCCAACCCACACCACACCTTTGGATGCAGTCGCGTCGGACTCGACGGTAGTTCGCGCGTAGAATCACTTGAGGAAGCGAAATGCCTACCAACTGATTGCAGCTGACTTTGCTTTATCAAAGGCTGACCACATCAAAACCTTCAGGGTTTCATTAACTCGACGGAATTGTTCCTGTAATTGCGGTCTGAGTCACCGGAAGTTGGTGGCAGACATTGTAGTGGATTAACTCGGTACTAAACATAGTCCATACAGATCAGAGGCTCTCTTTAAGAGCGGTACCAGTTCTACAAGCGCGCATATTTGTTGAGGTGGAAATTCCTTGGACTTCTAATGACAAATGCCTCACCCTGCTTTACACGACGGGTATGTAATGTGTCCGATTGCCTAGCTTACTCCGTCGGTGTCATTGGGATTACTGCTTCGACCTATTCTAAATGATGGTACACACGAGCTCCTATTGAATAGGCATTCCTGACATGCACTAATTCACCTCCTAACTGCTGTCTTTGCCCAACTGACTTCTAAACAAAATTTAATTTCGTTTAAACCAGCCCGAATCGTCGTTGAAAATGATCAACCTGGCCTTCGAATGAAATATTTGTGAGGTCAGAAATGACATTTTGGAACAGAATAATCAGCCAAGGCCATATTATGTAACTATGTTTCGTGGTAATCGAGTTAATTCACTGATTGCAAGACCGTTGAATATCCATTTCTGAACAAAATCTCGTACGAACATCATTCTGTCTCGAATTGCAAACTTTTTTTGCACTAAGCATTTCCAGAAGGATTGTCTGGTGTTACTTTGAACAGAATTTCTGCAGACTTCCTCCTTCAGGTACTTCTATCAGAAGAAGCACGCCTTTTCGTGTTTTACGTCTTTGTCATTCCAATCTGTTCGAGCAAAATGGTGGAAATTTTCACATTTATTAATGTTTTTGTGTTCATTCATACCGTCATATCGGTAACCCCAAGACTTGTGCTAATCAACAAACAGTGTTTGGGGCTCAGCTGACTTTTTATGTAAGTGACGCGCTTCTTTGTAGATTATTTTCAAACACAGGCGACGAATAAACACGGTAGTTGGGGAATTCACTCGACTACTTAAATAAAACGTTTTCTCGTACCCTGTGAAGGCAACCACCAACTGCGAAAACCCGTGATGTGCCGATTTGTGGGTAGAGGGAAATCCATGTTTTTTGTCGAAGAAAATACAAGGAAAAATATTTTTACGGATTTAAATCGTTACTTGTCGCGTCCGCTTTGTGGGGGCAATCCAAAGTGGACTTAATTAATTGAATTAAACAGTTAAGCCTGCCATTACATAACCTGAAAATTGGTGGGTTACTGTACAGGTTTCCCAAAATCCGAGTGTTCAAATAGGTTTGGTGACATTCCTCAAGCAATTTTGGGCCAACGTAGCTTCAATGGGGAGTTGCTATGCCATCCTCAGTATCACGTCGTCCTACTAATCGTTTACAAAAGTTTAGCCGTTCAAATTTCCGCTTTCTTGACTTGGTCATTTGGTGGACTGCTCCTGCCTAAACCCCACTGTCCAATCGAATTGCGGCAAATCCTCAAATTTTTCCTACATCCTCCTCTGCACCAATTCCTCAAATCCACTGCCGTGTAATGCCCGAGTCTGGGTTTGTAAGTTAAATGTCATTACAATTGAAGGCTGTTAACTTAATTCAAACAACTGACCCTCTCAATTAATCAGTAACTTTCTGTCACCTCCTTTTTCCGTATTTGGTAAAGGACTACTTTTATTCACAAAATTCGGCTGTGGGGACATTATCGGCATGCTTCCCGCATTAGAGAGACAGGTCCGGCGTTTACCCAACCCCACACCAGTGCTTTTCGGCGGTATCGATCGGAAGTGGCCCAGTGGCGATGGTGGGTTGGCGCTCGGTTAGATGAGTGCATGCGCTACCACCACGACCGCAACAGCGACGCGAGCCCCTGTGCCGGAGTCGGTTCGCGGCTGGCCGCACTCAATTGGTCAGCTTGGGTGGTGCGTGCGTGTGTGTGTGCGTGCGAGTTACGCCCACGCGCACCCACGGCGCCGTGCTCATCGCGCGCCCCGTTGTTGCTTGTGCGGAGCATGTAACTTGTTCCACACACTCCTTGCATGTGCTTTTACGGCATTTTAGATAACATCGGCTTCTGGCCAGTGACCTACGAAATTAACTGCCGATTCAGCAAATACCACAAACTCCATCACCACTTTTGTGGCGTTTCCACGACGTCGAGGCAAGTGCTCGAAGTCGCAACCGACATTTGAAGACAACGTATTACCGTCAAGTCACAGGGACGAGTCTTTTCCACCGCTTAACCAAACGAAAGAACTTGGGAGTTGAGTATTTCAAGTAATCAGTGAAACAGGTCCCCGGACGCATCTTCTGCGTTCATTGGCAAGATCTTGTTGGTGACGTTGTGTCACTTTGTGACGGAGTTGTGGAACCAGATTTTAACTAGTAAAACACCCAGAAGCTGTAGGTCGGTCTGTGAAAGAAAAATCGGTTCAGAAGGTCATCCGATGGAATTGAAGCGGTGGAACTAGGATTCGTGTAATAGATCATCCCCACAGACTCATATCAGTCTCTTAAGAAAAATGAACACCAATGTCTTCCTTGGAACCTTCCGACCTACCGGAAATTACTGTCACATGATAGATCCAAACTACGAAATCGTAGTTATGTTAGATTATGCTAATAAAAGCGGCCATATGTGCGAGGTGATGACGGGCGTGGAATCGAGTCATTAGCTGTTTTGCAATCTAGCATCTGGGTGAACCGGTTTACGCTGGCGGGTATCGACTACTGCCCCGGAATTCACACAACTCTTTCGGATCGCGGCCTTTAGGTGGAGCACTGACCACGGTGCAGCCTCGCATGATTGGCTGTTGCGCGGACGCGCACTTGTGAAAAATGAAAAAAGTCGCCTCCCAGGCTCCGGCCAATCAGGACGCGCGTAGCCGTGCTCGCGTGTGTGCGTGCGCGCGCGTGCGTTTGCGAGCGCTGACGCTTTGCCTCTCCCCAGTACCTTCGAGAGTAGCTCAGGCTGTTTACGCGGCACTTGGCTTGTCATCTATGCATGGAGTTGATTGGTTCCTGTGAGATGGTGTCGCGGCCTCTCTTGCGACGCCTTTCCTCCCAGTCACCATAACCCACGGGCGCTCCCCTCACGTCTGACTCCAGGTACGAATATTTCCCGACCCAGAGGCCTTGATGGATTTATTTTGGTGTTTCGTGGCGAAACCTCATGGAGACGTCGGTTTGTGAGCGCTAAAGGTATACCTTAGCCATGAAAAGAGGATTTTACGCCGTTGCAAGTGCCAAATTAAGGTATGTACTCCGTTCGCATTTTTGCTTTCAAAAGAGATGCGTCCAGAGAACGACGCACCAGTGCTCAATCGAAACATGGGGTAGTTTGTATTACCATAAACTCCGAAGTAGGTTCATTGCATTTCGGCTTTAATCATGCGTGTAAGTTGCATTCCACCGTTACTCTCATACTCTGGTTGACACGATGTAGCTTGTTTTGTGCTCTGAATAGCTGTGAATGTAAGCAGATCCACGTGGCTCGCTTGATGAGGCACTTTATGCGGGTACTTTGGCAAGTTGTGCGCCCCTGGCATGAGGTAGTGTTTCGAATGTCTCCGAGGAATCACCTTGGGTGGCGGTCCCGCGCCGCTTCTCTCGTTTCAAGAGGCATGCGTTTCACTACCTGCATACCAAGACGCCTAAAACGACGGTTTAGGCCTTTCCTGCTGTTTCACTTTATGCAATCTCAATTTTGTTCAATGCATTAAGCAGTAAAATGTCCACCGTCACTTTCTAACGGTCTGATGCCATCTACCACACTAGAATACACGTTAAGGGTAGAGATATGTCTACATCTTCTGGCAGGATTCTGACCTTCCGTGTTTACAGGAAAATTGAGGTTCAATTAATGGAAGATTGGCACTCATACTTGCTCACTCCGCACGGCCAGGGAGATGACGTGATGGATCAGTTGTCACATTTGAAATTTCGAAAATTCGGATTGTGATTTAGGGGAGAAGGGTCTCTGTTGTGAATTCAATCGCAGGCTACACGGGCAGATAACATCTCCAAACGATTGAAAAAGAAATCTTACCCGTGCAGTCTGAAGGTGGTCGCTGATAGCCGACGAGTGAAATGATTTGGTGAGGGTCTGGCCTAAGTGTTCAGTATCATCGCTTTATGTACTTGCGTTAAAGACGCCCAATGTGGTACTTCTCGACGCCCTGGTTCAGTGACAGCAACATCCTCGACCTCGACACCATTCAGTTCGATGATGGAATAATTTTCTAATACCTCCAGAGGGACTGAAACGTGAGTTGATGTGCCTGCACAGAGCCGTTTTGATGCAGAAATGGAAAATACAGTGGTAGTGGCTCACCCTAAGAAGCGCAAATTGCAGCCTTCGTTTAACGCCGCAACCACCAACTTCGACAGAACCAAGGCAAGGGAATTTGAGTAGTGGTCAGAACGAAAAAAACATCCAAGCAGACTAGTGATGAGTTGTGGTA